CCGGCCGCTTCGTTCGCGGCCGAGCTTCCATCTGTCCTTCCTCCGTTCCTCGTTTCCGGTCTCGCTGGACGCCGCTGGAACCGGACTCCGACCAACGACGTCCGAAACGAAGACACCGGCGTCCAGATCGAACAAAAACGCGGGGACGTCGTGGAACTGGAAACTTTGCGGTTCTATTAAAATTTCTTGCTCCTCCGTTGAGGGACGACTCCGTTCGTCGGACGAATAATATTTTTTCGACGAGCATTCGAAAAGTTCGGCCACGGCGAGTCGACCGTGAACTTTTCAAACTCTCCGCGATCGGCCTCGAACTCTGCCGGATTTCTGTGGTGTTTTCCTGCGGATTTCTGGCCGGAGAATTTCCAGAGGAGGGCCAGATTCGTGGAGGAGATTTAGTGAACGGTTAGCGCGCTCGAGATCGCGCCTCGCCGTTGAATTTTCCCGAAATGGTGGCTAAAATTAATCTTCGACGCCGTGGTAAATCGTTGGAGCCCTTTGTCGTGGAATAATCGCTTCGAGAATGTCCCCGGTCGAAAGGGAACAAAGCGCGGATGACGCTAGATCATATTACAGGCGACGCGCTTTGACAGACGCGTGCGTGGCGTTACGAAATGAAATTTCCGGATGATTTTTTTAAAGGAAATTACAGGGGGCAGCGTTGAACTTTGATCGTCGACTTTGAATTCCGCTTCTGTCGCAGGTCGAACGTCGAAACTGCCGGTTCAAACTAGTTACGCGAGTCTGCTTTTCAAATAGATGAATATCCAAACTTTTGGGATATTCGTTATCGACTATACGCGCGCGGAAGCCTTAAGAAACGCGTAACTCCTCGGTGAACCGTGTTTCACGGTTGGTTTCTTCGAGTAATTAATAATTCGATGGGAACGCTGCTCGCCAGGTGTTCGGGGGATCTAATTTCATCGCTGGGGTTGATTCAGCCGGATTCTCGAAACGATATGGTGCTTCAGTGTGCCGCAGGCCCCGGCGGGCCGGCAACTGTTGTGCTCGATCGCGATCGTTCGGCGCGGAAGGCACTCGGACGGCGTACCATTGCCACGTTAAATCGGAGGCATCGATGCGGGCTCGAATAATCGGCGAATCGGACTGATTGATTAAACACTGGCTACGAACGCTCCCTACTGAATGGCGGCGCGCGTTCCCTCGTCACGCCCGGCGATCGATCAAGGGGACGCCTCTCGATGGATCATTGATAGCCAGATACGGCTGGCAACCGAACCGTTCGCGCAGCGCGCAATGCAAACCTCGATCATCTCTTCTTTGTTGCATTGCTTTACACGGTTCAACGGTTCTTCCAGCTTTTTCCTGCTCGTGTACGATCGAAAATCTTCCTCCCTCTGTTTTTCTACCATCCAGTGTTTTTCGACATGCGGATAATTTCACGAGTTGTTGACCAAAAGCTACGATAACTTACAGGAAACCTCGGTAAAGGTGAATCTTCCGTATAGAAAAGATAGATAAATCATCTTGGAAGGAACGTTGCCGAAGTTACCGAAGTCTAGCCAGTTTTGCGGCACTGCCAAAACTAAGGAACACACATCTCTTTTTATCGCTGCGAACCGGAGTTTCAGCGTTGCAACCGAACCCTGAGAATTGGCACGAATCTATCTCGGAAGCTATTCGGGATAAAAATGTATAATAGCTCGGAAAGTCGGGTAGTCTGTTTGTGACGCTACGGCGAAGATTTTCGGAGAAGTTGAAGCGCGTAGGGAGCGGAGCGTGTAGCCGTTGTTAATCTTGCATTCAACGTTACTCGGACATTCTTCTCCTAAATTCCTCATTGATTAATGGTTGACAAAGGACCGTAAGTATCTCCGCGGAGGGCTTTGTCTTCCTCGGCGCTCTTTAAAACGCCGTATTTCAGCCGACTGACAAGAAATATTTTTCTCTCGGGCGAGTTTATCACCCGGCGCGCAACACGCGTTTCCCGCGGGGTCTCCGAACGGCGGGGAAGCTGTCGCGGAAATCGCTTCGTCCGCGACTCCGATTTTTCAGCGTTCCGCGAGTAGAGATCGCTCGAGCAGCCGTGTTCCCGCCGCTTGAATTATGCATCACGCTTACGGACGACGTCACCGTTGATTGCATTAAATGTTAATTCCTTTTATGGCCGCGTACCTGCCGAACAACGTACCCGCCGACGCGATGAAGCGAGACTCGGCAACGGTGGATGTAACATCGATTTTCAATCTACGCCGCCGTGGCCACGAGTCTCGTGTGGATTATTAATCGAAACCTCCCCTCGCCGCGGCCCGGACATTCGGAGAACTTACTCGAGACGCGAACGATAAAAGAGATCGGTTCATATTTTTCCACGGAAGTCGGTGACATTTTTCGAGCGGCACGCGTCTGACGCAAATTAACACTAGGTTTACGGAACGTGACCTAGTAAGATGCTTCTTAATTGTACATACTACAAGCATTTCAAGTTTATTAAAAAGTACCGTAACATAGATGATAAACCGATAAATTGTAATACAATTAACAAGCATCTTCCTAGGTCACTTCTTTGAATTTCTCTCGGTTCCTCCTCTATGTTACACTACTTTTTAATAAGCTTGAAACACTTCCGTTAAGGGTTAATAATAGGAGCTACGATTCGATAGAGAAGAGACAGAAGGATAGTCCGACGAAGAGTCGATCGGTAACGAAGTTACAAGACAACGGCGCCATTCTCGAAAATCCCGAACCGTCCTCCAACCGAGAAGCTACAGGCAGTAGAGTTGACAGTTCGTTCGGAAAGGAAAGAATAATTCGTCCGGTCGCGAGGAATCGATCGTTACCAGATTTACAGAAAACACCCGGGGGGAAATGGTCAAGGACCGTCGGAACGGTAACGATCGCGCGACGAATATGCGCAATGCAAAGCGTGAAGCAATAAAATCCGCGGAAAGTGGAAACGAGAAACGGGGGAGAGACGTTGGAAGTCGAGGACGTCCCACGGGAGGTCAGCAAAGGCCTCACGGAAGGCCGGATCGGCCACTTGGCCGGCTCGTACTATAAATATTTCATGTTAATCGATATACGTGCACACGGAAGTGTGTCATGCACGTTGTCCTATGACTCGACACAATGCTCCACATACGGAGTGCCGGGGCGACCGCGATCGTTCGCCGAACGCACACGTCCGCGGGGACGTCTCGCGATCGGCGCGCCGATCATCCCGGTCGGCCTCCTTTCCGCCGATTGGCCGGCCGCTCGTAAAGGCGGCCGCGAATTCGCTTGCGGCCGAAATGAAAATCGCGGATTTCTTCGGGGATGCCGCGCGCCGCGGGCCGGCTCGCGACGGAAAGCGGTTCGAAGAGATTGCGGTCCTGCGGCCGAGTCCGCTGCGACTGGCGGAAAGAAGTTGATCGATCGAACGTCGGCCCGTCTGCTCGTAATTAGACTGCGGATGTTCGTGCGAGCGTACATTTTTCTAGCGCGGAGAGCCGGGAATTATACGGAGCGGTTCGCGTTCGATTAATCATCTCGGTCTGCCGATGGAATATTTTTACACGTTTCGTACGCGATCGTGGAAAATCGAACGACACGCGTGCACGAATAATGTACGTCGACGAATTCGATTGAAACGGAGACATTTACGAAAGGAATCGACGAAATTAACGAGCGAAACTCTCTCGCGCGCGCTTCCAATCGGCCGTGAATTTTTAGCGGCGGCGCAATTCGCTCTAAAAAAATAATAAATGAACTTTTAAATCACTCGACCGGCCACCGCTGGTATTTTAATAGCGGCACGGCGGGGTTCGTCTTCGGGTACGTGATGGGAATTCCCGTTCGATCTATTTCCAGTCGCGTCTGTGCTCGATCGTTCCGTAACGCCCGTCGAAAACGGCATCTTCGCCATTTTCGAGCCACTGAATGGAAGGCGCGGTTCGGTCTATTCGGCGACGCCTCGCGGAGCTGCGCCGACGATCTTTTTATAGCGACATGAATTCGTGATTTATGCCCGCTCGTAACGCGCCCGAATATTTCCGGAGGAGGGGGAGGGACGAGAAATATTTTTGTTCAACGCGCGGAGAGAGCGATACACACGCGACCGAGCGGCGCAGCCTTCTAACCATTAAAGGCTTAACCTGGTTTTCCGCCGGTTTCTGCTAGGGGCGGCTTCGAACCTGAATTTTTCATTCCCGAAATTTGAATCCGTTTGCACGGTTTCGGCGCCCCTGCACTTGACACGCTGATTTTAGTCTCAGAGAAGGATAATAGTGGATCACGTTGCGGGAATCTTCGACTACGACAAGATGCAAGGAAGAATGTGATGACCTAATTAGCATTAATGTTTAACATTAAAGCTACGAGATAAAATGACGCATTCCAGATTTTGTAATTATTCAGAAGATAACGGATGTTTCTCTGAGATATTAAAGAAATTGATTCAGCAACGCGCAGACTGGATCATAAAGTCTTGAATTATGTCTCGAAGTTTCTACAGAGGGATCTCGAAAATTCAATTTAGCTCGGTAACTTTGTTAAGAACACTAACATTTACGCTGCGAATGATTCTTTATTCATCGATCGTGTACCTCTCGTTGTCTAGCCGCCGGATCGTAAACACAGTGGTTACTATTATTATAGATAGTGGAAGAGTGGATCTTGAGTGATCGAGAACTAGGAATAAATATATGTATTTAATAAAATATGGAAACAACACGGACAATATGTAAAAATGCAACTCAATGCCACGGAGGCCAACACGCGACTCTTGCTTCTGCAACTCTCTCACAGACATTCTCTCCCAAAAATCATTCTCTCCCCCACAAGCATTCTTCTCACTCGCACTCATCAGAAACACACTTCTTTCATTCATTCTTCTTAAAAATACCTTAGCCTACGCTAAAAATTCTAGATACTACATAAATCACTGCAGAATTTCGCATTTTTTCGACGAAAGATGTCGATGTTTCGACGTTCCGAGGGAACCACCCCTAGTTTCCAGGCCCGTGGGAAACGAAACTTATTTTCCCCGTTGTTCTCCGTTTCAGAGATGCTGGCGAACAATACGGGCCACATGGTTGGTGTGTTCGAGAAGCTGGGCATGTTTTACAGCGACTGTTTGGCATTCAAGGAGAAGCCCGTCAATTTTACACCCGGTAAGTCGATACCCTGTCCACTTTGCGCGCGCCCGTTCTATAGAAACCGAGACCCGTCTCCATCTGAAAGCGATGCCACGTGACGGACAAGTGCACAGTCCTCGCGAGATATTGCGCGGCGACGTTGCACGTTAACGACGACCGCGTGTTCCGCGGGCGATCCATTGTCGTCGCGAGATTCGCACCCTCGACGGTGGAATAAAACTGCACCGCGAGTCTCCTCGAATTAACTCGCGACACTTTGAATTGCGTGTAAAATTCTGCGCGCCTCGAAACGATGGTCTCCTTTATCGCACTGTGATATACGGTAGCTACGAATTATTAGTCGACTAGCTTTCATTTTTAATCCTTTTTCTTTAATTCGGAGATTTCGAGTCAATCTCTATTTACTAAATAGAACATTTAAAGTTTCGATTTAGGAATTGAGAAATTTGAATCGGAATTGGATTCGTTTTATCATAATAATTTCCCAGAGGTGATACACCATACCTACGAATTATTAATCGACTAGCTTTCATTTTTAATTTTTCTTCCATTCGGAGATTCCGAGTCAATCTCTATTTACTAAATAGAACATTTAAATTTTCGATTTAGAAATTGAGAAATTTGAATCGGAATTGGGTTCGTTTTATCATAATAATTTCCCAGAGGTGATACGCCATAGCTACGAATTATTAATCGACTAGCTTTCATTTTTAATTTTTCTTCCATTCAGAGATTCCGAGTCAATCTCTATTTACTAAATAGAACATTTAAATTTTCGATTTAGAAATTGAGAAATTTGAATCGGAATTGGGTTCGTTTTATCATAATAATTTCCCAGAGGTGATACACCATATCCAGCGAGCGTTTATTCAAATTGTTCGTGACGAAGCTCAGTTTCTAAAGCTCCATTCGATCGCGTCGTTTCCACCGTTCCCGGACGTTGTCGCGCGCGCCGCGTGTCCCTGTTTTCGTTTCTCCCCGTGTCGCCGCCACAGTGAATTCTCGGGGATGAAAATTCGATTCGACAGATATCGGCCGTGGAAAACGGTCCGCGGACGCGGACCGTAATCGGCGGCCGGTCGCGTGCACGTCGAAACTTTCATTGCCGGTGTCTCTCTCTTCCGGCGTTGTGTCCCCGGACAAAGTTCGTTTAATCCAGCGCCCGGTGAAATCGCTCGGTCGCTCGCACAAAATACGCTCCGGACTGATTAAACTTCGCCGGCCGCGTCGTCCGTATTTAAACGCAGCTGAATGAAATTCGGCTGCGCGATGGTTGAAAATTACCGGCTGATTATTCGCATTCACGTAGCCGCGCGGGGGAGCGAGTCTTCCTCATAATTCCCATTCCGCTCGAAGAGTCGGGGCTCGGTTTGTAACACCTGGCTTGTAAATGTCATTTGATAACAGCTTTAATCCCGTAATGGCGAGGTTACCCGTTAAACGGTTTATTTCGCGTTAAGATTATATTCCCGTCACGTTCGTTATCCTCTCCGTATATTTACCGTAATCAAGATCTCGTGTGCCGCGCGAAAGAATGGGGAATTATCGTCGACGGTGGGATATTCCCCGAAAATCTCCGAGAAGAATGATCGCGTTTCCAATTCCTCCGAATAAATTCACCGTGCGGACGCGTTTCACCGTTCGAAATTTATGCGCGGATACTCATAAATGCCGAAATTTCCATTGAAAATCTCCGTCGGTGTTAACACTAGGTTTACGGGCATTTATTGTATTCTATTAATCCTAAAAGAACTGATGCTCGTTTATTCAGATCGTGGAAACTGGAGATTCGATAGTAGGTAACTGGGGTACACGTCAGCGTGATCGCATCGATCGAAATCGGCGTGAAGGTTTACGAAATAATATTTCTGAAATCCAATATGCGTCGATTCGACGCGTTCCGTAAAGCTAGTGTTAAGCGAGAGGTAAATTCTCGTCTGAGAGAGATCGAACGCCATTGAATCGGAGGTTTCCGATGCTTTCAATAATATTTCCCCGTGCTCGCCGCGTATCAACGCGCGCAGTTCCTTCCCGATGAAACAAGAAGCACCGGCGGTCGCGTTCCGCTATCTGGCAAACTTATTCGCGTACTTCCGTCCAGCGGGGGACGCGTTCGTCGACAAAGGTGCACGTGTTGCGCGCGCGGTCCGCTCCGGTTTCGAGGAGAGACAGGTTCCGCGGCGACGCGGCCATAATGCATCCGTCGTTGCGGCGTTCATTCATATATTCAATCGCGGCCTCCGTTCCTCGCCCCCTTTTCTGTCCGAGTTCCGTCGCGGCGCGGCTCGAGGCAGAAATTCCCCGGGCTATCGATTATTCATAACCGCGGAAATCACAAGACGCGCGCTCTCGGCTTATAAAACGAGAAGCGGCCCGCCGGATCGATGCTGGATCGAATGTCGTGTACTCGAACGAGCTTCGACCGAGATCAAGAATCCACGTTTACCTATTCGATATTGTTATGTATTCAGAACAACGCCGAATCTTTAATTGTTCGTTTGAACCTGATTCGACAGAATTCAACGAAAGCTATTTCGAGCGAAGGTTCCTTTAGGCGAAATTTAAGTGTGACATTTCGATTGATCGTCATAGACGAAGCGAATCATCGCGATTTCACTTCGCGAACCCTCGAGATTCTGTAACGATAACGCAAACGGCGCATCAGAGCTCGACGAGACGGCAAAATAAAAATTCACGAGGCCCGTGTGACGGATAACGCGGAATAAATTGTTTCGCGCGAAAAGCCATTTCCCCGGAACCGGGATATAAATTTTATATGAAACTCGGTGAACACGCCTGTCCATTGTGCGCCTATCCCACGGTATCAGGCACATTTTCCAAATCGATTTCCCCGGGACGAACTTCCAACGAATAAACTTTATTACACGCCCTCGATAAACATCGTCCATACAGGGTCACGTTCCTTCTGCTCCGGATTCCCGGCGCACTGTGCGCCGGGGGAGGGCGCGTCAGTATTTCCCGCGATTCCGCCGAGAATAAATATCTCGTCTGCGGGGATGCTCGCGAAAAAAAACGCCGCTCGACGCGTGTTCACCGTTTCCAACGGTCCCTCCTCCTCGCGTGTCGAAGCGTCTTCTCGAGCGGAGTCTGCCGCGTGGCTCGCGGAATCGGCGCAATCGCGACGCACAGAGCGCTCGGCGCGGATAGGTCCGGCCAGCGGAAATCGTCGACTCGCGCTACCTCGCCGGCAACCACGGAAACGCTCCACCGGAAACGGCAAAGCGCTCGGACGATGCATGCGTCCACTTCACGCTATTCGCGGGGCGCTATTTGTCAGGCCCTTCCGCCATATTCCGAGGTATCCATCGTGGCCGGGATCGTGGCAGCTGGTTTCCGTTTAAGAAGACCGATGACGGCCGAGCGCGCGAATAAGGAGGGAACGCGGATTCGTGGAAGTGGATAAAGCGGTTCTTACTTGGAACCGCGGGGCTATAGCTGTTCCCCTCGAGAACTTCTTGATGTACCCGACAGCAAACGCGGGGACATTTTTCTTCGCGATTTTCTCCTCTGGAAATCATTATTCAACCACTCCTCGGGAGCTCCGGGGCAGAGGCGCTCCGAACTTGTTACCGACTGAATGATTTATACGCGAGCATGTTCTTTCCATTGATATGGAAAGGACGCTATTGACGAAACCTCCTGCGAGGCGCAAGAGCCCTGGGTATTTTTACCATGGCAGGAATAGAAGCCCGAGGAACCGTTGCTTCGCTAATTTAGTCGCAGTTTCTTCGGCACGTTCTGCCAGTTCTGTAGATTCACCATAGTTTTAACCTTACATCTGTTTGCCAGTCGAGGCGATCCTTGGTTTTACTCGCTATGGTCAGCGACAAGAATCGGCAACCCCTCTAGGATCGCTGGTCGAGGGGAAGTTAGTCGCAGAAGGAATTTGTTTGTACGCGCCCGCTACCTCGGAAGGCTACGAATCAGGCGGACTTCCGATTTTGCACACGCCTACCTGGTTTATAAAAACCACGCAAGATACAGAGACGATGGATACAAGATAGATTCAAGCTGGACAAACGAGAGAGTATACGGACGTCGTAGACACTCGCCGCTGACGAGTATCACTGAATTCTCTTAATGAACAGCAAGTTATTTCCACTGAAGCGAACATTAATACAGTCGACTTCCAATCGGTCGCGCGAAGTTAAGTCGCGACGTACGGGCTTCGCTATTAAAATTTCGAAATAGAAACGAACGCTTCCGGTCGGATTATTCGAAAGCCAATTTTACGACCGCGGCACGATAAATTATTCCCCGAGTCAGAATTCAGAGGCAGCCTCTTGCATTATGCAGCTCGGTCCTAACCCGCATTACACTCGACAAGTGTCCCGATGTTTACGATGCTGAGCGCAGTATCACCGAACAGAATCGCCGCATTGTCCGCGGCGCGAATCGTCGACTCGTACCACTCGGTCCCGCCGGGCGAGAACGCTGAAAAGATTTCCATTCAACACGCCGCGACTCTCGGTCGGCGTCCGGCCAGCCGTGACCAGAATTCGCGTTTAGCGAATCGCTTTCGAGCGTCCGCCTCTAGAAAGCTCGCGGGCCGAAGAATATCCTCCGAGCTCTCCGCGTTTCGTCTGGTTACAATGGCCTCTCCCGCACGCCGCTGCAAATAATAACGAAGAATTTGTCGAAGCGCGACGGGGAGGGCCGCGGGAGGGGGGACAGTGAAAGGGCACGGGGCGAGGAGCATTCTTCGAGCGATGGCTGGCGCTCGTTTACTCTTTTCCGCGTGGCCGCGTCGCCGCGAGACGTTCCATCGCGGCTGAAAAAGAGCGGCGGACGCCGTCGGAGCGAAACAACCCCCGTCGAGGCGACGGACGGAATCGGCTGCAGCGAAGAATGGGATCGCGTCGAGCGGTTCGGCGAACGGAAACGACGAACCAGCCGCGGAACAGTCGGAGAATTATAGCGGATCCGATGAAAGGGAGCGGGGAGGAAGACGTACAATTATTCGATCAACGCGGCGTCTAGGAATCGATACTGTC